AGAAACATTTTTTACCTTAATGCATTGCTTGCATTAAAGTAAAAAATATTTTCTGTTTTCCTGTGCTCCTCTTTCCCTGTGTGAAGGGGTTGAGCATGGTTGCATCTCTTCTCCCCTCTCTTCCTCCTCACACATGAACTCCAACAGCAGCAGGAGCCATTGGCTCTTGCTGGTGTCAATAAAATTCAGTGAAGAGGAAGTGGGGACGGGGATAAGTCGCGCTATGTGTGCCTATGGAGCGTGGCTTCATAGAAACACAGGTTGAGAGTGAGCACGAGTGAGTGAGCACACACCCTGTGCCCCCTAGCCACCGGCTTGCTATGGGGACACACAAAGAAGAAAAGGAGTCAAGATCACCGACGGGGACTCGAGAAGAGGAGGATCGGGGCTGCTGTGTGCAAAACCATTGCACAGAGCAGGTGGGTATATGTTTGTTATTTTAATTTAAAAAAGTCAGACTTTATTAACACTTTAATAATCTTGAGAAAACTACAAGTCAGTCAGGGACCACAACTCAAGCAAATTAGACACATACCTCCCATCCTTGGCATCCTGTACAACGACTATAGGCAGAATGCTGTATAAATGAGTTACATTTTATATAAATATGATATCACCAAAAATGGCACCAGCAGCAAGACATATGGGAGTTGATTTACTAAAACTGGAGAGTGCAAAATCTTGTGCATCTCTGTATAGAATCAAGCTTCCAGGTGGTCAAAGTTTAACCAGTTCTCGCCTGGCTATGGTAAAATGATGGCCGGGCGGGACTTTCATCAATCGAGGTGGACATAATATCACATCCTCCCGGATCGCCGCAATGCTGCAGAGAGATCTGTCACTGCCTGTGTCCATCGGATAGAGCTGATGACTGATTTGTGTACTGGCCCATTGCAATTGTAAACAATGGATGGCTTCCTTTCATGCTATCCATTGTATACAATTGTGTTGCTAGCTGTACTTGGTCACAGTGAACACTGGTACAGACGGGGCCAATCACAGCCCATCTGTGTCATGTGATTAGCTGTGGCCAATCACAGTTAATCACAACAAAACGAACTGAATGAATCCATTTCATTCAGTAAAATGCTTGTTTATAGAAATGAAATTCATTGCTGTGTGCAATCATATTGTGTAAAAAAAAAAAAAAATAAATACTGATCACGTCCCCAGAGTAGTACAGTGTTACCACAGTAACATTATATTACTCTGGTCACAGTGTATAATAAAAAAAATCATACCAAAAAAAAACAAAATAATAACAAATAACAAAAATGTAAAAAAAAAAATATTATTTTTTTTTTTGCACTGTCACCAGTCAGTATCACTGATTACCACCACGCCAGTTACATTATGACACTGTACTGCACTGGTGACAGTATGTAAAAATAAGAATTGTAATTTTTTTTTTCTTATTTCTTCATTTTCCAAAAATTATGAAAAAAAAATTACAACTTCAAAAAAGTTGCAGCACCTCTTACTAAATACCTCAGACTGTCTACTTTCCAAAAAGGGGTAATTTGGGGGATATCTATACTGCCCTGGCATTTTTGGGCTTCAAGAAATTAGACCGGCCATCAGTACAGAAGGATTGATCGATTTTCTGACGTATACCATAGTTTGTAGACTCTTTAGCTTTCATACAGACTAAATAATATACATTGATTTGGTTTATTTCCACCAAATAAATGTAACAGAATGGATAATTCTTTGGGTCCACCTACATGGGATTGCGGCCACCCTCCGCTACTGTTTTTCCAAAAGTTTTCTATGTTTTATAATTTAATTTATGTATATAAATATTTGGAGTGCACTTCCCCTTTAAGGGAAAAGGAATGTAATTTGCTGTAAAGAAATCCAGACAATGGGAATATCCTAGAATCTTCTGGAATGTCCCTAAACCCTATTTAATAATTTGGAGGAAAAGAATTCCCTCACAACGGACCTGCTGTTCAAAAAACGCTGGACTGTGGTTGGTCTGAGGCAAGTGTTGGAGCAGGCGGAGAGTGGTGGAGGTGAAGCCTGGCTCCGGCAATGCTTGGCACTTACCAAGGGAAGAGACGATGAGGCGCAGATTGAAGGCACTGCGGCTGTGGAAGAGGTCCCAGGCTCACAGCGTCGGGCTGGAATGGAGCCAGGAGAGACAGTTCGACACTGACATGCTGTAAGGGAATTACTGTACAGCGACTGGCACATAGAAATGCGCATGCATGCAACATCGTGCATAGAAATAAGCAAGGGCGCATTGCTAATAAAAATAAGCATAGGCTTGAGCGTATGCGCAAGAATGTGCGCACACAGGTGCACGCACGCAGGAGTGTGCCCACAGTTTCTGGCACCAAACGGACTATTTAAAGGAAGCTCTTACTCTCTGTCAGTGCTGACTGGTCTTCACTTATTCCTTGTGTCCTGCTGTATCCTGTGTGTATCCGTTACCAACCCAGCTTGCCATTGACCTGCTCTTGGATTCTGTTTATGATTCTGCTCATCGGTTTCTGATCCTGGCTTCCTCCTGACCTTGTTCCTGTCTGATGTTCCGGTACCTCATCGCCTGCTCGTTGCTGACCCTGGTTATTACTGTCACTACGCTTCCGGCTCCAGTTTGGCTCTACAGTCCTGCCGAGTGCTTGTCCTGGCTATCCGTTATATCAGCTCCAGTTGTCACGGTGTGTTTTGGCCTCACGCTTATCATAAGTTCCGGCAAGCCACATACCCAGATCTTGTAGTTCCAGTGGAGTGCTTCCTTAACCTCAGCTGGCTGTTCCAGCATTTCTTCTGTTCCTGACTGGATGTCCTGCTTGATTTACCGAGGTTACACCTCCAGCGACAAGTTCTGCAATCAATAGCCACATACACTCGTGTTTCTCCTGTCCCTCAGCACCAACTGCTCCACCTTCAGTGGGGCCTGTGCTGGAGATACAAGAGAGGCTGACCTCGTCAATTCAGACTTCTGTCAGATACATGACACATGCATGGTGGAGTAATTCACCTGTAAGAGGGAAGGAGAGTGCATCTAGACTTGAGGAGGAGCAGAGCTTGAGTGACAGCGGACCCAAAGATGATGGCATGGAGGCTGGCCCCAGCCACCATTATAGGAAGAAAAGGTGGTCCCTCTCCCCTTAATTCTCCAGATCCAGCTCTCGGGGTAGGCAAGGCAGGTCACAAATGGTATGCAGGGAACAGTGTGTTCTCCCTCGCCTTCCCCCCTTTGGTTTCTAGGCAACAGGAGTGTGCTGCACCCGTGCAGATGACAGAGAACCATACCTCAGCCACATCTAATATTGAACAGCTGTCCAGTGCTGGTAGACAGCCTGATACTGGAATTGTCAGGCTCCGCCCAACGGGATCTCTAGTGGTCGACAGCACAGGGTTTCCCAGGACGCGGAGTCTAAGTTCCAGTCTGCCTTTTCACCAGGGCCCCTGATGGTGGGGATGGACTTGGTGCAAGACTGGAACCAGGTCGCGTCCCTGGGCACCCCCGGCGGTGGCAGAGGGGTCCCGCTGAGGGAATGTGCCTGGGATGAGCCTGCTGTGAAGGGGATGACAGACCCCGATCCGAGCGGGATGGATGGGATGACAGATCCCGATCCGAGCGGGATGGATGGGTGACTGCTAGGGGTGAGCGAGGTCAGACTAGCCGGGTCGGTATCGTGCGGGCAGCGTGGTACAGGGGGAACAAGCGGAGAATGGTCGGGGTCACAAGCCAGGTTTAGCAGGTAGCGGGCAGCGTGGTACCGAGGGTCAGGCAGAGGGATGGTCAGGAACGAGCCGGGGTCAGAGCAGGAGAGGGTCAGCGTAATCAGAACAGGCAGAGTTTGGCAACAAGGAAACGTACTAGCAGGAATACAGGAACAGGAACAAGACCTTGCGGCAATTTGGAAATGCACAGGGCAGATTTAAATAGGGCGCCCTGTGTTTCCATTGGTGCGGCCGCGATTGCTACTGCGCATGCGCGGCCGCCGCCGCGATCTTTGTGTTCGCCGGCCAGGAAGAATCGGCGATCTGCGCATGCGCGCGACACTGAGCGGTCGGGATCCCTGACAGGAATGGTAGACCGATGCAGTGTTAATTAAGTACCTGAAGTACAGCAGTCTCATGCTCAGGATGAGTGTAACCAGATAGCTATGATGTCTAATTTAGTTAGCTCTTTATCTGAAATAGTTAAATCAATATCTCATGTAAATAACATTACAAGAGCTAATGATACTGTTAATGTTGATCCAACTTGTTCTCCTGTTACTGAATTGATCCAAAACATTACTCCTGCTCAGAGGATGCATGTACCAGAAACGAGCTTTAAAGAAGCCTTACCATGTGAGGTTCCTTCACTTGGTTTTCATTTACAATATTCCATTAACCACTTGCCTACCAGGCACTTATACCCCCTTCCTTACCAGGCCAATTTTCAGCTTTCAGCGCTGCCGCACTTTGATTGACAATTGCGCGGTCATGCAACATTGTACCCATATGAAATTTTGATCATTTTTTTCTCACAAATAGAGCTTTCTTTTGGTGGTATTTAATCGCCACTGGGCGCTTTACGTTTTGCGCTATAAATTAAAAAATGTGCAAAAAATTTGAAAAAAAAAAAAGTTTATTTGTTTCTTTTATAAAATTTTTCAAACAGGTATTTTTTCTCCTTCACTGATTTGCGTTGAAGAGGCGGCACTGATGGGCACTGATAGGCGGCACTGATGGGCACTGATAGGCAGCACTAAAGGGCACTGATAGGCAGCACTAATGAGGTGGCACGGATAGGCGGCACTGATAGACAGCACTAATTAGGGGTCACGGATAGGCGGCACTGATATGCAGCACTGATAGGCGGCACTGATAGGTGACACTGATGATGGGTACTGATAGACGGCACTGACTGGCATCACTTCTGGGCACTGACTGGCGGCACTGACTGGCACAACCCCTGGGCACTGACTGGTGGCACTGACTGGCAGCACTGCTGGGCTGCACTGGTGGGTGGCACTGGTGGGCAGCACTGGTGGGTGGGCACAGGTGGGTGGCACTGGTGGGCACAGGTGGGTGGCACTGGTGGGCACAGGTGGGTGGCACTGGTGGGCACAGGTGGGTGGGCACAGGTGGGTGGCACTGCTGGGCACATGTAGGTGGCACTTCTGGGCACAGGTAGGTGGCACTGCAGAGTAACACAGGTGGGTGCACTGCTGGGCACAGGTGGGGGCACTGCTGGGAACGGGTGGGCGGGGCTAGTGGGTGCACTGCTGGGCGGAACTTGCGGGTGTCACTGCTGGGCACCGATCATCAGGGCACTGATCATCAGTGCCCTGATGATCGGTGCCGATTCCCGCTCTGACAACTGCCGGTTCTCGGCAGTACTTTCCTCACGATCTGACAGCGTGAGGAAAGTGCAGCCGAGAACCGGCACTTGCATTTCCCTGTGATCAGCGTGTCATTGGACACCGCTGATCACGTGGTAAAAGGCCGGTGGGATCGGCCTTTCACCACATCACGTGATCAGCTGTGTCCGTAGGACACAGCGATCACGGAGATCGCCGGGTGCGCGCCCCCTGGGGCGCGCAGGAGAGCGCGTTCTGGGAGGACGTCATATGACGTCCACTCAGAACTGGCGGCCGCGGTGAAGCCGTCATTCGGCTATGCGCGGTCGGCAAGAGGTTAAAGAAAAAATATGGAATGGTGATTTTGTAGACATGTTGTCACTTCTTACAATACCTAAGGAATTTATATTCAAATACGAAAAATAAATCTGAGGATAAATTAGATGAGGATAGGTGTAGGCCTATCCCGAGGTCCTTTTTTAATTGGTTGCAAGGTTTTTGCATTTTTTTCTAGTATAATGACTGAGTAACATCCACACTTATGTAGCGGTTTATTTCAAAACATGGACCACATTTTAGAAGCCTATAAAATTTTGGTGGTTTTCGGTGGTTAAATTATGATGATTCATTTCGTCAGAACTTGGCAATTCATCTGTCGTTATAATGGGGTATGAAAGATGTCGGTCTATGGATAAACCTTATTTTACCACAAGAAACTCCTAATAATCGATTTCTAATCCTCAAAATGCAGGGTCAGTATATAGGAAAGGAGTACGCTTTGCATACAAAAAGTCACAGTGTAAGTGGAGCACTTCATGCCATTATATACTTTTTACACTGGGACACATCCAGTGTTAAAATGCTATAAAAAAAAAATAGCAGTAATGCGTCACAGACACAATGTGATATTTAGAAAAAAAACCTGCACTCCAGGGCGGCTACAAAAAATGCGCCCCTGGTTGGATCAGTATCCAATCAGGGAGAAAGCCAATTTTCTAATTATGGTTTCGCATTTAGTTTTCCGCTTCCTGAATTTTCAGGCACTGGTTGTGAAGCGGTCCCTAATTTAAAACCAGTTGATCGTTTTCCACAAATTGTTCGTGAAAAAAACTAAATTTCAAAGAAATTGCTGAAGATAGGGTTGTGGGCCCTTTTACAGAGCATCTTTTTGATAATTTTCATATATCACCGCTTGGAGTAGTTCCCAAAAAATAATCTAATTCTTTTAGATTGATTTTTCATCTATCTTTTTCAAAAGGGAGCTTTTTAAACAATGATATTGATGATTCTCTATGCTCAGTGTCATATTCCTCATTTAAGAAATCTTAGTAATTAGAGCTTCTGGAAGAAGGACTTTATTGGCCAAAGGGGACATAAAGTCAGCTTTTAGACTTCTTCCTATAGATCCAGTGGCATTCAATTTGTTTATATTTTGATGGTTTTTATTTTTATGATAAATGCTTGCCAGTGGGCTGTGCTTTATCCTGCTTTTACTTTGAAGATTTTTCCTCTTTTTTAAAACTGGTTGATATGTTTTGAATCTGGTAGTATTGGCGTTATCCATTACTTGGATGATTTTTTGCTTATTGGCCCCCCCAGATTCAAATCAATGCTCTTACCTGCTTAGTTTATTTTTCGAAATAACAAAATAGTTTGGTGTTCCATTAGCATCCGAGAAGACGGTATTTCTGACAGTGTCTTTAGAATACTTAGGAATTCTTATAGACACATCATTGATGGAATATTGTTTACCTTTAGAAAAAATTAACAAGATAAAATCAATGATTGCATTTTTTCTAAGATGGAAAAAGGTAATTTCAAAGGAAACGCAATCCTTGTTGGGTTTGTTAGCTTTTACCTGCAGGATCATGCTGGTTGGAAGAGTTTTTTCCAGATGCTTATATATAGCTATGTCGGGTTTGAAATCTATCTATTACCATATTAGGCTTACTCTCCCCTTTAAAGAGGATTTAATGGTGTGGTTGAGAGTTTTAGAGGATTTCAGTGTCAGATAATTTTTTCAGGAAGAATTTATAGACTCTGATGCTTTACATTTGTTTACGGATGCAGCTGGATCACGAGGGTTTGCAGCCATATGGGAGACTCACTGGTGTTGTGAGAAGTGGCCTGAATTTTGGGTGCTTAAACTACCAAGAATATTTTTTTACTAGAGCTATTCCCAGTAGTAGTGGCCCTCAAGTTATGGGGATCCAGCTTTGCTAATAGGCATATTCTTTTGCACACTGACAATAAAGGTGTATTATTTGCAGTGAACTGTCTATCCTTCAAGTCTTTCTTATTCCTTTGTTAAGACATTTAGTATTTTTGTGTTTAAAATTTAATATCTGGCTAAAAGCAAAATGTATTCCAGGTAAATCTAACACCCTGGCTGACGTATTGTCTCGTTTTTAGATTCCCCTTTTTCGTCAGCTTCTTCCCAATGTAGATATAGAGGGTCATTTATATCCGGAACACTTGTGGAGGCTGATATGATGGTTGTTTTGCAGGCTATTAAGGAATTGGTCGCACACTTGGACGGACTATTCATCTTCCTGAAATAAATGGGTTTCTTTCTCAAAGAACAAAGGTTTTTGTTCTGAAGTTCCTTCAGAACGTACCATTTTAGAATTTCTATCTTCATTAATGCAACCTCATTTTTCTTATAGCCATATAGTTAAGACTATGGTGGGAGTCTCTTTCTTTTTTAGGTTAATGAAGCTTCTGTCCTGTATGCAGTATTTTACGGTCAGACAAGCACTAAAAGGGTATAGAAAAGTACATTTTGCCCTGGACGTTAGAAGACCTGTATCAAAGGCTAATTTAGTTCTACTATGTCAAATAACCTCTATTAAAGGGAGAAGGATAGGTGCAGCGCTTTGGATCAGAGTGCAAAAGGAATGCTCTAAAGGTATATGTGTATATATGAATATAGGTACAATAATAGACAGTGCGCTAATCAATAGAAGTGTTTAAAGCACACACACAGTCCACATCCCAAATCAATGGTGGTAGGAAAGGGTAAAGAGAATCCTAGGAGCGAATAGAGTGCGCACTCACCAGAAGTGCGTATAAAATACGCATGTAGAGAGATAAACTCTTCAGAATGTCTCTGGCATCCAGGCTCTGGTCAGATCGCACTCCACACCATCCTCTTTGGCACCGCGAAGAGCAGTAACCCGGATTCACCAAATGGTAAGGGCGTCAAAGATACTCCTTAGTCCAACAAAGGCACATAAATGTTGGCCACATGTAGTGGCTAGATGTCCATGAGCTGTAGCCCCCACTGACGCGTTTCGTGCGATGCACGTTTTCAAAGGGCGCAGGGCTAACCTCTATTTTTGTTTTTTTCTCAATATGAAGCCTTATTATTTAAAACAGCCTTTGCTCTTTCATTTTTTGGGGGCTTTAAGAATTTCTGAACTTGTTCCCCATAATAAATTAGGTTTGTCTGGTATTTATGTTGATCATATCTTATTTGATGAATAGGTACTTAAAATTTTTATTAAACAGTCCAAGTCTGATGAATTAGGTAAAGGTCAATGGCTTTCCCTGGCAGCTGATGAAGAGATGATTATTTGTCGGGTTGGGATGGTCCAGAATTATCTTTCTTGTAGACCTTCTCATCCAGGCCACTTACCTATTCATATGGATAGGTCTCCCGTTACTAAATATCAGTTTGATTTCATATTAAAGAAGAGTCTTAAACATATGGGTTTGCAGAATTTTTAATTTACCCCGCACTCCTGTAGAATTGGTGCTGCATCTGAAGCTGCAAGCAAGGATTTGTCTGAAGACAACATCAAGTTTTTAGGTAGGTGAGAATCCAAGAGCTTTCAATTTCAATTAATGGTTGAAGTGGATGGACCTATGTCTTTTTTCAGCCATACTGACTAACTATGTAACTATGTACATTATTCTAACCTCTTTCTTTAATTTCTTAGGTGTGCTTTGCTGTATTTGGATCGTTGGGCACGTAAGAGAGCAGCAGGTCGGAGTTATTCAGAAAATGTATCTATGTCACCTGAACATTTCAACATTTTATGGAAGTACATTAGAGGTTTGCAGTGGTGTCAATTTTATTTTACCTTGCCTAAATTGCATCAAATGTGTCCCTTTCTATCTATTTTAATAATACATTTAGGTGGCAATAACTTAGGAAAAATGAAGAGTTTAGATTTGTTATTCACCATAAAAAATGATCTATACAGGTTTAAGCTGACTTCTCCTAATACTAGGATCATATTTTCCAAAATTATCTCTAGACTATCTTGGCTGTGCTCTCCTCAATGTAGAATGATGGAAAACATCAGAAAGATGATTAATAGGGCAATGAAAAGTGTATTGTTATAATTTATATAAACAAATAATTTTTTGGGGTGAATTTCATCGACTGATTTATAATAATAACAATAAAGTGCTGTGGCCTTTTAAAATGCCATTTAATGTGATCTGGTTTTGATTTATTTGATATGCAATTTTATGAGTTTGGCGGGTTTTGTCCTGCTGTCCCATACATCTTGCCCTAAATTTATGAAGAACAATAATTTATTATGTACCATTTTGTAACAGAAACAGAGAAAAACTTGTTATTTTTCAAAATTTTTGATCTTTTTTAGTTTATTTAGCAAAAAATAAAAACCCAGTGGTGATCAAATACCTCCAAAAGAAAGCTCTATTTGTGGGCGTGTGAACAAAATTATAAAAATTAAGTTTGGGTACTGCATTGCATGACCCCGCAATAGTCATTCAAAGTGTGACAGTGCTGAAAGTTGTCCTGGGCAGGAAGGGGGTAAAAGTGGCTGGTATTAAAGTGGAAGTTAAAGTAGAAACTGATTGTCTACCATGCACAGATGCATCAGATTTGTCATGCTTCATTTTTAGTAAATCCACCCTATGATGCCAAGATCAGACAACAATCCCATTTCTACTGTATGCGTACTCGTAAGTGCTGCAGGTTTAGGGGTACAATAAAAACCTTGCTCGTTATGAAGTGTGTCAATTTGCAATGTATGATATATTGCACCACATGCCAAAATACATTGCAATAACATGCGTTTTGATGCATTTCCTTTGGTTTTCATAACGAATGTACC